CCCCAAAACCCCAAAACCCCAAAACCCCAAAACCCCAAAACCCCAAAACCCCAAAACCCCATTTATCCTCATTATCATTGAAGAAAGCTTATTTGTTAAATTTTTAGGTAAAATGAAGTAGATTTTTATCCCAGAAAGTCTTCAACAAACTTTCTTAAGGATCTTGATGAGTTGTTTCTTGGAAAATTGGGTTCTTTTAGAACTTCTCTTGTAAGCGAGAAAATAATTTTCCATGGGATTGACTCTTTCATGTACTTTTTGATGTCTTTTTTGGTAGTGCTGTCTCTGTTCAATAGTATTCTTTCTAGCTTCTTGCAAAAGTTAGCGTCGTAGTCTTCATCCCCTAAAGCCTGAATGATCTTCTGGCATTTAGGAATAGGGAAATAAATCATTCAGTATTCACAGAATGATTCGACAATGTTACACTCATGATAATGAGTGAGACTTGTAAACGACATGAAACTCTCTAAGAAGCTAAAAATATAAGACTCCATCTCTGGTTTCTTATATATACTAATTGAAGAACAATTTCTGATAAGAGCATAAGGAATCTTAGTGACAAACCTTATGAACTTAATAGAGAAAGCATCTGGCCTCATCTTTTTGTCAAGACACATCTTTTCTAATCCTTCATAGAAATTATTCCAGATGAACTCCTGGAGCTGCTGAGTGGTTCTATACGGGTTGGCTCTCTTCCTTCCAGGCCCTTGTTCAGCAAAGGTGGCATCATCAATCTCTTGTTGTTTTTTCCTTAATCTTGAATATGTTTTGAGAATATACTCAGATAGTTGAAACCTATCCGACTTTATACTAGATTTTGGCAAATCAGGAAAATAGAAGGTTGGTATTGTAAGAGGAGAGTCATTCTGCATACTTTCCTCTTCAGTCACCAAACGCACAGCAGAAGAATCTTCTTCGCTAAAGACAAGATTCTGACGGGTCTAAAAAATTCTCAGGTTCTCCTTTCTCAGAAGTGATATGTTGAGCGCTCAAAACGAAGGAAGATTTCACCTCCTCCTTGGATTCCTGCTGGACAACTGTGCTATCCAGATAGTTTGTCATCTCTGCTGAATGGGGCTCCTTCTCCATGTTGTCTGGCAAAGAAAATCCTCCAAAGTCAAGGGAGTCTTGATCTTGTCAAAAAGATACTCCCCCAAAAGGATCTTCGAATTCAAGTGAGCTTTCCATTTTCTAAAACAATTATTATTAAATTATCCAAAACTTAAAGGAGTTATGGGGTTTTGGGGTTTTGGGGTTTTGGGGTTTTGGGGTTTTGGGG